TGGAGGTTTATATCCTTGATGCATTCTTAGCATAGGTAGTGAAAGATTCATGAAATGATTTCCTAACATTAATTTATCATTGTGCAACAGGCGAGCAGGTACTACCAGTGCAGTATGTCTTTGATGGTGGAGGGGGTGAAGAAGTCTAAAGAGAGGTGGGAACAATCCCCAAAAGATTTGGTTTCTGCTGCAATAAAAAAAATCCTTCAGCTGTTCCTTGTCACTACACACCATCAGCAGTAAGAGGTGGCTAAGCAGCTGTGCACTTCACACGATGACTTCCTCAGCTTCAATATGGCACCACGAGACAGAGAAGATATTTGTAAAAAATCGGGCCAGATGTTGATAAGAGAGTGCCTATTTTGGAGATTCTTTTTGATAAAAATTTGGAGTCTTTTTGGAGACCAATGTACAGAAATGACTAAGAAATGAAGATGGGTTAGTGGAGCAAGAGAGAGATATTGAACCACATAGCCCTACAATGAGAAGAAATCATTGCATACATTTAATAAACAAAAAAGAAAACACAGGGACTAAGGAAACAATATCAGCATCCCACCAGGTCCCACAAAACCCTTTGGAAGTCATGTTAGCTGCAGATGATCCATTTGTATTATCGGGTAAGTGGTCCAGTAACTCAATGTGAAGTTGATGTAATTACAACCAAAGTTACAGTAATTACTAAATATAATGGAAAACTCACCAGACCATTGTCTTCATAGGTCCGTGAGGATAGGACCTGTGCAGTCACTATGGAATTAAACTATCTGGCCATTACAGTTCATCTGAAGTGTGTGTTCATCTTTGGTGTTTGCTTTCATTACCATGGAAGGCTCATTAAGAACATAAGAACGGCCATATTGGGTCAGACCATGTAGCCCAGTATCCTGTCTTCCAACAATGGCCAATGCCAGATGCTTCAAAGGGAATGAACAGGACAGGGCAATCATTAAGGTGTTATTTCAGAAGCCTCTCTCGTCTCAAGTGCGCTAAGCCTCATAATCCAAAATATCAATTAAAACATGACAGCACAAGTGAAACTACTGCAATGAGAGAAAGTCTTCTACTAAAACCACCAGAGGCCACCCAGTTGGATCAGGAGGCTTTTAACAAACAAACATGAAACATCTTTAAACCCCACATTTAGAATAAGAGAAAAGGATGGAATCCATCAAAACACTATTCACTTATGGCCACTGCTCCATGATAAAAGGAGCATCAGCCATGCGGGATGTGAACCAGGACAGTAAGCATGGATTGTGCCTACTGTAAAAACTCAGCCTTCTTCTAGGCACCTGCTAAAGAAGGAAACAGTCACCTCACAATGGATGACCGCATCATTTGTCACTCAATTGACTGGACCTATGATATTGGTACTTGAACTCAGTTTATTTATCCCAAGTCAACCTCACCTCTGAGTTTCTGTTTTTTGTAGGATAAAAGTTATGATCCTTTGGGCAAAGTCTAATAGTCACCATGCAAACCACCTCCTCATGGTGAAATTCTGTTGTGCCTTCTGAATTGTTTGATTGGCAGGATGTTTTCTATATTTACTGAACAAAATCAATAAAAGTGTTTTAAAATACAAAATATTTACTTAAAATTCCTGTTTGGATTGGGGGAATAGCTGTTATTACTAAACTGTTGGCCTGGCTTACCCAGTACAGTGCTTGAGAATGGTATTTCTCAATAAGAGGAGAAGAGGCACAGTCTGAAAAGCTGGAGCCTCACATTGACTGGCTGGTTAGCAATGTCACAGGATGTAGAGAACAGGGATGTGTGGCCAAGATGCTACTGTTAAAATTTTGCCATCAAATTGAAGGGAGGTTTGGTGCCATTTCACTGCCTTTGGCGGAATTCATTGCGTCTCTGGACTCTATGAGATCATCCCTAGCAGAGAATAAAGATTTGCCTCCTGGGCTTGTGAAAATATTTCGGAAGAGCAAATTTTCTTTTTTTTGTAACAAACCAGCTTGTGCCAAAAGGCAGATTTTTTTTAAAATGGGTTTTCAGGGTCGGATGTCTCCGATCCATCTATAATGTTTTCTTGTACATGTGTGCACCCTTAAATACTGTGCTACACTATCAGTAACTTCAATAAAGTTTTCAGGGAATGAAACAAACATTTCTGGACAATGCACTTAACATGAAAAAGGCTATGCAAGGTTTTTCTTCATTATGAGAAAGTGGTTTTATTTAAACAGAGACACAAGTGAAAAAACACTTTCTGTAAGCATATATGCACATCATATATAGGTTTCAGAGTAGCAGCCGTGTTAGTCTGTATCTGTCAAAAGAACAGGAGTACTTGTGGCACCTTAGAGACTAACAAATTTATTAGAGCATAAGCTTTCGTGGACTATAGCCCACTTCTTCGGATGCTCTAATAAATTTGTTAGTCTCTAAGGTGCCACAAGTCCTCCTGTTCTTCTTTTTGATCATGAATGTTAATCCTAGCCTCAGGGTCGGCACTTTTGCTCTGAATCTTTATTTGGGGTATGGAATGATGGAGAAACATAGTTGTTTTCTTATAAAAAGTAGGGGCTTGTGTAGCAGTGACGTGAAAACATAATTTGGTATAGAGAGTGATTCTGCATGCACATTTAAAAGTTTGAGGTCCAAAGTGCACAGTATTTAATTAGGTAAAACTGTCATTTATTTTAATGGAAGTCTTGCCTCAGATAGGGTCTGAAGAATTTGGCCCTAAATTTTTGGTGGAACTGTATTCTTTCTAAACCTGGGCTGGTCAGTCTATCAAGCTCAATTTTTGAGATGATTGTTGGTTCCTAGTT